AATCATATCATCAGCAAACAACAGCAAAATAAGTATAATGTTATCAATGGTAAGACCAGAGTCTGTATTTGTTGTAGATATAACTCTAAGTCTTCTACAAACAGAGAAAATAATATGGGCGAAATTACCTCCCCTTGCCTTAAGCCCTACAGATCGTATTCAAAAAAGTCAGAATAGGTATTACACAACCTTACACAAGGACTTAACTTTTTCATACATACTTTTAACAATACGTAGCATTTTACCTCTAATTCCACTTTTAATAAAGCTTTAACCATAGGGCATTTCTATATAATACTGTCAAAACATTTTTTACAAATCAATAAAAACACAATAAAGGCGTTTATTTTCATTTAAATACTTCTGAACTAATGTTTAACAGGATAAACAAAGCATCAACTGTCGATTTTCCTTTTCTAAATCCAAAACTGCGGCATCAGAGTATAATATTATTTTCATTACAATAAGTCCATAATCCTTTTATTCAAAAATTGATGTAAATAATTTCGCAAACAACTTACAAGCGTGATTCCCCGGTAATTATTTACGTCATTTTTATCGCCTTTTTTTATGTAACGGAAACAATGAACGCCTTCAGTCCGACATATCAGGAAAATGTCCACTATCAAGCGATATAATTAAAAATATCACATATTATGAGATGACAATATATCAATAGCTTCTAAAAAAATATTCATTCAATAACAAATCAATTACCATGAGATTTATCTCTCTTTAACGTCTTTAACAGACTCAATTATTTCATTTACAGAAATGGGTTTATCCAAAAATCTCATCTGACCCATTTAAGTCATTAAAATCATTACGAAGTAAAGCGTTCTGGCTTCCTCATTCTCGCTTGAAATATATCATTACCAAGTTGTGAAAAATATTTTAAAAAATCGTCTAATAATATTATGTTTTGATTTACTTTTTACTGTTAAAAATACTTCAAAAAACTCTTTCGGCTTAGAATACCGTAAATTTTCAATACGCCTTTATATTCTCCACAATCATACATTTTTTTCGTTTCACGTTTAACAATCCTTTTATATAACTTTTTAAAAGACAAATTCTTCCCTATTAAAAAATGTGTCTTATTATATTATATTTTTTTTAATGCTTTTAATAAAATTTGCTTCCCATGTATACCCTCATAGTCAAACCATTCTTTTTTTATCGAAATTGGTACATCACTAAAACATTTTGCTTATGTTACTTGTATACTTTTTGCTAAATAAGGATCACAACATCTCGTATGATCGATGTAAATCCGCGTTATTCAAAACCCCTTTTTTTTTTCCTTTTCCTTTTTCTTTTTTTTTTTGGGCTTGTTTATTTGTTTTTTTTTTCTTTTTTTTTTACCTTAAAAAAATTTAATACTTTTAAAATTTTTTTTATTTTTTTTTCTCATTTTCCTAACAAACAAAACCCCTGTCGGCCTTTTAAAAAACCTTCTTTTTTTTCCCCATTCACGATCGGAACAGTTTTGGGATAGACTTCGCATAAGTCTTAATAAATTATCCAAACTGCCGATGTTTCAATTTTCTGTCTAAAGAGGCCCGAGGACAGGGGTACATCTCGGCTACATAATTAATCATCATCTATGAATATCATGCTAACATTATCAACATGTAGGATAAACATTCATATCATTTCTTAGACCAAACGACTATTCCAGTCTCGCGATCAAATACGCATGACCCTTGACTTTCAAAATCAAACACATCATTTTGAATGAGATCAAATAAATCTACATTACATACATCATAAGCTGGCGAATCTTCACACCATAAATATAAATTGCGCCATAAATAAATATCTTTTACAACATAAAAAAAATCCTTATCTAGTTAAAGCCATATAACAGTATCATAATGGTTTCGAACTATATGAATACCATCTTTTAGACAGTCTTTTATATATATTGCTGTACCCCCGCTAGATCGCTTGGCTCTGCGATGCTGAAATTTACGATATAAATTATGAGTTGTATAACCATCAATGTCTATTTTACTTGTTTTAGGATGTCCATGTTTCATATAAAAATATAATGTCTTTAGAAGTTATAATATTTACAAAATCCTGGCTACTCTTTTTAATATTTGTAAGTCCATTAACATTCCAGGACAAAACACTTAAACCATCCCCACTGTATCCCTATGCATCCTTCTGCGCATGCCGTCTATGTAGAGAGAGTGTCATATAGGACACCACCACGCTCTCTTTCCCTCATTTTTTCGCCTCCTTCGCCTTTTTCATTAGTATACGTCTTTTATCAGCAATCTCTTTAGGATATTGTTCATGTAAATAAAAACTTGTATTTTCCAGTGCTTTCCATGACTTTCTCACTAGCTCTTTTTCCTTAAATAATGTGAATTTTGCAACAATTTTTCTATGCTTTCTGTCTACCCTTTCACCTGTTCTATGTACTCTTTCAAAACTGAATTTGGTCAATCATCTCCTTAGCAAATTTCATTTTATACACTAAAAATTCGCGCAACACTTCTCTGTATCCTCCGATTTACCCGGCTGGGCCTCCTCGGGAATGTTACCAAATACGAGGTTATTTCGCATGCTTTGCGACATCTGATAAAGTAGGTCATGATTCAAATTTTATTTTGAGTTTCTAGATCCACAATTCGAGACATTGATACACCAAGATTGAAATCAACACTTTCAGTTTTTCTCCTCCACCTTCAAAATTCTCTCATTTGTAGTGACATTCTGGTCTTGAACATAGTTCCACATTTTATTTATTTCCAGCTCAAATTTGTCAACCTTTTTTTTCAAGAGATTCAAGTGTACTTAAGCGTTTTTCCATACCATCAAGCCTTTCGTGTATTTTCATCAAACATTTCATTAAATCTGCATTAGATGGTATAATAGGTTGGGCCTCCGCCCAGCATCAATATTACTAGCACTCATATTGAACGACGCATTGTCTAATCTATAAGTTTTCGTATCATTATCAACCGATTCCTTCGAATCTAACAAAGTTTCTAGGTTTATAATCGTGCTATTACTATCAGTATCAAATAATACTGAATTAGTGTCTTTAAGTATACTGCTTACACATACCTCTTCAGGTGTATTTGTATAACGTCCAGACTTTTTATCTCCGCCATTGTTTGCTGAACCATCGCTCACCTTACGTTTTTTATTATCCGATTTTTTCTTATTTGCCATCAAATGCACAACTATTTTCTTACATAAACTATTTTACATTCATAAACACATCTATAAACAGCAAAGTTATTCCTTTAAGTATCCATACAATATATTTTAATTAATATTTTTCATTTTTTCGAGAGCGCCAAAAAAACACCTGTTTTCACACCGAGATCACGTGATAAGATTCTTACAGATGGGATATAATAGATTTAAATGTAAAACAAACAAATACCGTTGAATGTATTTACATAGTATTTACATAGTAACATTTGGTAAATTAACAAAATAAAATGCAATATGTACCGAAACATCCACTTGAATATAATTTAAAGGCCAATCTTGCCCCAGAAATGCTAGTTTTCACTATGTTTTAAAAAATTTTTTAATTTTTTTAGCTTTTACAGTTTTCCAATAATACTCTTTTGATTTAAATACTATTTTTGCAACTGAAAGCTATGTTGGGTTTTTGGTATAATTATAGTGAATAGAGTCAAAAACATTTTGTTAACATTTTTAAAACTTTATGAAAAAACCAGTTAGGTTTTTTTATTTGTTAATTTTAATTGACCTAAATAAAAATTTTTAAAAGCTTTAACCCATATATTTAAAATTTTTAAAGAATTTTAAAAAAGTTGATTTCCGAGGCATAATGCGCCTTTATTAAAATAGACGCATCTTATTCAACCGTAGTGATAAACCAAATATACGAAATCATCGGTATTATCGTCAAACGCTTACATATCAAAATCTCATCTATTTCAACTGAATGCTTATTGTAGAGGTAGAGACTGTCATTCTATGCAAATCTGAGTGATCTGACCGCTTGATTGTAACACTGACAAGTACTGTTTTTGACCGGTGACATATTTGCCCGTAAGGAACGCATCAATTCGTTAATGATCAACTTTTATATACTTTAGGAGATCTAACCTTGATTTATCCGCAGCTAACACCTATTTTCAAGGCAATATAACGCTAAATAATTGTGAATGGCAATGGGAAATAAGTCTATAAATTTTTTAAAGCCGTGAACGATTGCTGTCGTTCCAAAGTTCATTCTAAACAGTTTGCGGGAGTTATTTTAATTTGGATTTGAGAATATCATGGAAACATTATTTACTTACTGATAGGTTTTGGGTCTATTTGAGGTCAATTTCTAGCATTATCACCAAAGTTGTGTTAATATTGCATTGCTCCATATGCTTGATAATTTTTAGAAAAACCTTTCAAATTGTGATAATATGGAATAAAACGACACAGTAATGATATTAACTTTAAAGGAATGTACTTTCAAATAAAAAAAGACCCCGAAAAAAAAAAAATTTTAAAAGTTTTTCAAAATAAAAGTATGCATGTATTTTGTATTTTCTTTTTTAAAAACCCGGGGGATCAAAATGAATGGGGAAGGTGAAAAAAAAGGGTAGTTTTTTAAAAAACTAAAAAATTAAAAATGTAGTTTTAGTATCGCAATAAAATTTTACAATAAAATTTATTTCATTTTTGAAAGCACGTGTTTTTTAAATAAATTAAGACCGTTATCTCGGAGCTAACTTTTAGTAATCTTTAAACTTATTTAACTGTAAGTGATTATTTAACTTATCTGAAATGTATTTACATCAATATTGATCTCATCAACATAATAATGGTAATTCTGCATGTTTTTTTTGATGTTGTTAAATACCATATTTAAGATTCTTAACATAAATTTTGTAAGAGAATATAAATTAGACAAAGCTGTAAGTATTTTGTTGAAAGAAACAAAGAGAATAACTAAAATATTTTTTTATTTATTATTAATTCTTAACTTTAACTTCCTTTTTTTACAGATTGGAAAAGTAAAAACTTGACGAACGTTGAGTAAGAAAAACACATTTTCAAGATGGAATCTAATCATGTGACAGAAAATTCGACAAATAACAATTCGAATGCGAAACCTGCAAATATGGGTAAACTTTCTCCCAGCATGCATAGTGCCAAGGATAGGTGGGGTAAGCTGAAAACCACCATGACGGTCACCAGTCAAATTAATAACAAAAAACAACGACGCTTAGACCGTGGTGATTCCTTTTTGAGAAAGTTTTCAACAAGAAATCAAGCAGAGCATGACACTTCCGACGAATATGAAGATGTCAGTACTTCCGGTTTTCATCATCCAAAACATAAAACATTAAAATCATGTGTGATACATCCCTCTGGCGGATTAATGTTCTACTGGCTAGGGGTGGTAACTCTAACAGTGTTGTACAATCTCTGGACCTGTATTGCGAGAGAAGCTTTCAGAGAGATTCAGAAAGGATACATGGCTATGTGGTTTTGTTTGGACGGAGTGAGTGACTGTATATATTTGTGTGATATTTTTGTCCAGTTTCGTACCGGGTACTTACAACAAGGTTTGATGGTCTATGACTCCTCAAAGTTATGCAAGAACTATTTGAAAGACAAGTGTTTCATTGTGGATATACTGTCTTTACTTCCACTGGATTTCCTACAGTTCTACGCAGGTGTTCATCCGATGTTAAGGTTTCCAAGATTTCTCAAAATCTATAGGTGTGTTCGATTTATGCATATGTACGAATCTAGGACAGCGTATCCGAATTTACTGAGGGTAGCAAACCTCTCTCATATACTGTTCCTCGGATCTCACTGGTTTGCTGCGTTCTATTACCTCATCTCCGAGGCCGAGGGATTTGAGGGTGACTGGTCCTACCCGAAACCCGTCGGTCATTACGCCGCTGTTACACGCAAGTACTTGGCATCCTTGTATTGGTCGACCTTGACCTTAACCACAATTGGTGATCTACCACCACCGGACACCAACTGGCAGTAAGTAGCATTACCTTTGTTCAATAAATGTACCTGAAATTGATTAGAATTAGATGTAAGCAAAATAATCGCTAAGAAAGTGAATGTTGATAAGATAAATATAACAATATATTTTGAATTAAATTACACCAAGTATATATATGCGTATTTACAAGTATGTATCTAATTCATTTTCATTTTCAAAAAACATGTTATTTTAAATATGTACTGTATACATTTCAAGGTAATAATGTTATAATAGTTGTCATTCATGTGGAATTTAAATTATTTAGACGTCTTGAACATAATTTTACGTGTTTAAAAACTTGCCGATTTACTTTATATTTCTACATTTTTATTTGAAAGTTAAGAAAACTTATATTTTAGTCACACTTAATACTCTTTCAAAAATTGATGGACAATATTTCTAACTCTCAACCGGCAACCATTTTAAGTATTTCAAAATGTAATGTCAAAATTGAGCTACATTAATATAAGAGTCTGGCTAAAACTGCCCAGATATGCAGGCAGTTCCGGTTAAAGAATATTACGGTTTAGTACTAAAAGTTTTCGAAATGAATGACGACAATATGCGTTCTAAAGTATTATTGGTTTGCCTTGATATAGAAACATTTTTTTCTGCTTGTTAAGAAGAAAATGATTTATTTTTCATATTAAAACGATGGTATGTTATTTTAAAGACTCTGACCATATTTTTATACTTAATGTTACAAAACATTTATTAATTACCATAATAAATTCTGCACTTCAGTAGTTCAATATTTTTGTATAAATCAGGCGCTTTTCCCTTTATCAAGGACGAAAAAATGGATTGTTTATAATAATTGTCAAGAGCTTCGTGATTATGCAAGAAATTTTCCGTTAACGATCCTTTTTTAAATTGACATGTTTACGCCAATAGTCGGTCAACACCTTATATAAATCATTAATTGAGGGATGACTTTATACATTGAAAACAAAGCAAAGAAAACAATTAACTTGATTGAACAATGTTAAGTGGTTATTTTAAGTAATGAAGCTGTAATGTATTAATTCTTTTTAACTTGACAGTCAAGCGTCATCAGCAAATCTCTTTGGGCATTAGCTGCTTCTGAGTATTATACAAATTTAATGTGATATAATTTGATTTAATGGATTTTCTTTTGTTAATGTGATGGATTCGTTGTTCTGGCATATTTATTTAATCATTAGTTTTCGCGATGGTGTCAGTATCAGCGCCTGTACAATGGGTTTAATAGCCAACGCAAATGAATTAAAAACAAATCTGATTCAAAAACAAGAACTTATTGCTTGAAATAATTTGGTTAGCGACACAATACAGGGTTACTGAAGAAGATCTGATTTACATTTCAACTCGTTTATAATTGCATTTTCTTTGTTTTAATTATATGAGCGGATTTGTAAAGAAGAATTAAAATTGGTTGATTTTAACAGTTATTTCATTCCATGTGTTAAAAGCGTTTTAACATAAAAAAAAACACACACAAGAAATTTCAAGTTTATTCTGGAATAATTATTCGTTGATCAATTTTTTCATAAAATCAATTGAATCAAATTCTGTTTTTTGCCACACTAAATGAAAAGAACTATTTTCATTAAAATACATTATTCGCTTTCAGACACAATACAAACATTTTGAATATATTATAAAACATGTCTAAGCAAATTTATAAATATCAATATTACATATTAAATAAATAGTCTAAGAATCTGTTTACATTGGAATTGTCATGGTTTCAACTATACACGAGTTACCATAGTTTATATCAAACAAATTAGTTTCGAAAATATTTTAGATTTTTTATTGAACTTTCTGAATAATTAAGAAAAATTCTGAATGACTAAGACCATTCTTTTCTATTATTAAGAACTACTTTCTTTTTTGCAACATATCGCAGGGCAATGATGTCATACGCCTCGTGAGTATAAACTGTCGAAATATGTACGTCACTATTTTCCAATCGCAAACAATCCATGCATGATTTTTTTCTTCTCCAAGTTGCACTTTTATCGTCAGAACCCTTGTATAAAGTAACCCTGTATTTTGTTGTAAAAGACAAAACTCACCGTGCTAAATTTTGTATAATACAAAAAATATTTACATTGGCATTAAACCCAAGCATTATGAAGCACTTAATTTTGAAACCCATATACATTGTGGATCTGATATATTCTGTAATGAACGATTGTTTCCTAAAGCATTATTACACTGCTTTTAAATTATCAAAATACTTCTATTTTCATTTATTCAGGTAGCGAAAAGTTGATTTTTTTAAATTGTGTGTTAATCATGAAAAAAAAACAACAACGAAAACCCGTATTTTCTCACGGTTGAGCTTTGTACTACTTGGTGTTGTATAATTCTTTATTTTATTTGTCTGTGCTTAGAAGGGCACCGACTATATTTGATATTGTCAAAATATAGCTACAGTTTTGAACTGGTTACTATAAACCATGTATTTATTTTCATTCGTCTGGTCTGAATAAAATTAATGTAATGAAGCAACAACGATATATAAATATGTTTATTCCCAGATTTCCAGTAGACAGTGAAATTACATTTTTTAAAATTTCGTAGTTAATTTATAGAACTAGATATAATTTGCAATGGAGCCGGACTATATCTGAATGAGGTTGAAAAGAATATATCCTAATCAAGTTGAAATTTCAGCAGAAATATACTTTGTCGTGATTAAAATGTGCTACATGCGAATATGTGCACATATCAATTTAAAAATGTAAAAAAAATTGTAAAACTTTACAGAATGTTACAAGAACAACGTGACGTCTGTGTTTTAATGACGTCATGAATAAGAGCTTATGTCGTTACGCGACAAAAATTCAGTAAAAAACTTGTATATAAAATCCTCAAAAAGCATGAAATAAATATAAAAAAATGTATGAAATATCAAATTATATTTTACTCGTGAACATCATCTCTCCCATTTTCACCCGTGGCTACGCTACAAGTGAAAATATTACACCTGGTATTCACTCTGTGAATTATATTTCGATTTTTACAAACAAAAGAAAAATATGTTATATATAACCATTTTTGAGTTATTGAACATTTTAGAATACAGATGAGAGAAACACACCATGACTTTCAACGTTGTTAGGTATATTCAAGTACATATTGAAAAATAGCTTTGAACATGTACATCGGAGGATATTTATAGTACATAGACATCTGTTACAATTTGATAATGCCATTAATCTTGAACATGACATGTTTATTAACGTTATTGTCATTTACGTCACTGTTGTTTTTACCTTGTTAACCTGACCTGACGTCTCATTAGTGACAATAACGGTTATGATACTATTTACCATAAATCGTTAAAAGTATGGTGGCACATGCACATACACTCTCTCTTCTTTAAAGTTAACTTATGCTAAGCAGACAAAAACGATGAGCATTGCTATATTTAATGGGAAACTTACATTTTAAAATGTTCAGTTCGCTTTAATTGGAAACAAACTTGAATTAATTTATAAGTAGCTTGTCAAAACAAAATCTCTCTTACAATAAACAATGAATATATGATTAAGAACCAGAATTATTAAGAACGTAGAAAACCCTCGAGTATTGTTAAAACATGACGTTGACATTCATTATATTTTTACTTTTCAGCGCATTATCTACATTTAATATATAGTTCTACCTATAAATGAAATATTGATGAAATAAAATACGTATTTTCATTTTCCGTATTTTCATTGTAAAAAGTTATTTTGCACTGCAGTGAAACATATTTTTCGTATTTTCACTGGTGTCATACCAGACTACTTTCTTCTAAATTCAGCCAATACACACACTTTAAGGGGAAATGTTTTAGGGGGAAAGTTTAAATTGTAATGTCAAAAAAAAATATATAGAGAAAAATATATATAATATACAGATTTTTTTTACTATAAATAAAGGATTTATATTCATCTTGCGGAATAAAAATTATCATATTTCATGACTGAAATATCAATTTTCATATCACCAGTATTTATAGAAGAACTTAAATATCCTATATGTTTTCATAATAATATAGAAAAATACACCCATAATAAATTTGGGCATGTTTTCAAACATCCTACGAGACTGTATCAATTAATTGATTGTATCAATGACGTCAAAAGCGTATACGAGGGATACATTATAGATTTATAACTAAATCATAGAATTTATTTAAACTTTGCATGATCTTAGAGTATGATAACTGAAACATATGAAGCGATAGAAATTGCGGGTTACAGACCCGACATTCTAATATCATGTAACTTATGATAAAGTATATTTCTGCCGATAAATGTCATATTTTGGCAATCAAATATTGTTTTATTTGACATATTAATATGCAATTCATTGTTATTTTACATATTTTTACAGGTTACACACTGTTATAAAATATTACTCAAAAGCTCATCGTTCATTTTATTTATAACTGCTGTAAAACCAGACTTGATAGATCAGAAAACATGTTGATATTTTCGTACTACGTAATAACACATTTCATTTTTGGCTATTATGATATATTATGATTAAATATTATTATATCTGCAACTATTTGCTAATAAATGGGTAAAGCTTTGTTGTTGTTTTTAATGTTTTAATGTTTCTCCTAATTCAGTAATGGTTTGTTTTTGATTTTGCAGATACGTGTTCGTGATAGTCAGTTATTTGATTGGCGTGTTCATCTTTGCTACGATTGTAGGTAAGTTATTATCAAAAGACAAATGAAGGTTATTTTGACGAATTAAAGGCCTCAACAGACGGTAGGATTTAGTTGTACAGCGCTAATTAGAGATAAGATGTACAATTTTCAAAGCTATACAACACTTGCATTCAGACGGTAATTCTACACTGTAAGAATCATCTGAGGTTTCCCTAAAAATATCCCTTTACATTGATCCTTTACATACTTTACTCACTAAATACTTTTTTCGCCATGAGTAATGATTGAAACACCTCCATTAAAAAATATATATACATGTATATATATATTTTAATGGGAAGCCTGACCGAGACTCAAACCTGGGACCCTCGGTATACCGTACTGCGGCTCTACTGACTAAGCTACCTGACCGCCTACAAACTACCTCCCCTCCCCTAATTAGAGAACAATTCAATACGGTGACATAATCATTTTTGGAATAATTTGGGATTCGAACATTACACAACTTTGGGTCTTCTGAAGAGTTTTTCAACATCATTTTTACCCCATCTTACTACTATGTTTAACTTTAAGACCTAATTGTTCTGGAATTTCATTCATTACACCCATTATCAGGAGATAATTTGGTTACTTGTCATTGTGGGAGGTCTGTAAAAATCTGTACGACAAGATTTTCAAAAAAGAACATATCCTATCCTTAAGGTTTCCAAAATCAAGAAATATTAGCCTTCACACATTAAGATTTGTCTGTACATCTTAGTTTTAATTGGTGTTGTACTTCAAAATTCTACCGTCTGTTGAGGCCTTAATGAAGAATGTTTTGACTTATCATGTCCTGAAGAATATTTCGAGCTATCATCTAATGAAGATATTTTGAGTTATCATCTAATAAAGATTGTTTTGAGTTATCATCGCATGAGCTTGCGTTTTTATAATTATCACTTAATGTAGATTATTATGACTTTAATTATCATCCCATGAAGATTATTTTGAGAAATTATCGATTGAAGATTATTTTGAGTTATCATCTAATTGATATTATTGGGATTTTAGTTATCATCTATAATTGAATATTAATTTGAGTTATCATCTATTGAAGATAATTTGAGTTTTCATTTGATAACGAGTATTGTCACAGCAAAACGTAATTCATTATTGGAGTACAGTTTAAATTAACACGAATATATATGTACGATTATATAAATAAAGACTTAATGTTTCAATGTAGGTTTAAACATATTTTATACGCCATAAACAGTTGCCATATTTAAATGACATTACACTGTCGTGTGCTTGGTCAAATTTGCATTTACAAAACAATATACATGTAAATTAATTCTATAACTTATGCATATCAATATAGTCCGCAAGATACAAATGAACTGTTGTCTTCCCTTATTTATTCCACACCATTATAATGATTACATTAGTGGCACTATTCAGCCAAGAAGGAAATAATGAGAGAAAACCCGAATCCCTAAAAAGGCCCAACACAGGAAAATTGAAAATGATGCAGGCTCAGTTTGATTGAGTCTGTCCATGGATTGAAATGGTTATTTCAAACTACCGTCAACGCCACCAAGCACAGGTTTAAGCAGAATTCAACATTTAACATGAAAATGTTAAAATTTTGAAATATGAAACATCCGCAGATGTGTTCATATAGCTTTTATTATGGCAAAAATGCATGTACCTTAAACGGGAAAACAATGTGCGAAAGTAAATCAAATGGAATTTGAAAGGGGATTAAAGGTTATGGAATGACCAACACATGTGAATCACCTTATAACGAAAGTAAGAAAAGATTGAATGTCAATAAATGGCACTTTTAAGCGTGTAATATTTCCTTTACTGAATATGGAATATGCTTAAAGGACAGCACATCAAATTATAATGCTTATTCGGACGTTTTATGACATGTTTTCAACCTTTTTGTTTGACAGGTCAAGTAGGCAATGTCATCACGAACAGAAATGCCAGCAGACAGGAATTTGAAAGATTACTTGTGAGTTAATATATATATTTATATAATATACAGACAAAACATTCGAGTCACATTTAAACTGACAAACATGCAAAACTAAATCTTATCTTCTGAAAGAACGCAACGTACGCACCTTAAATAAAAGACAGCTTCACTTATTTCAATACATTTTATGCTGCATCAAGCTATATCTAATGAATTATTTTACAAAATTCATAAAACAGTTAAATTATTTTGTTATCATAATTTTAGTTGATTATCGAAAAAATTGCAACATAGAACGTACATGTATATGCTATTTGACACCCATGAATACTGTACGTCAACAGAATAAAATGTTTCGAAACATAATATCATGCTGTTATTTTAAGTTTTTTCTCAGCAGATTTGTTTGCATGCGCCAGTCGCTCAAAATAAAGTACATGTATACCAAATATTTCTTTTATACATATTTTTTGTAATTTTAATTTTTTTAAAAAATCAAATCAATTCAGGCAAAAATATAACTTTAATCACTTAAATCAATGTTCCTTAAAGAAAGCCTAATCGCTAAAATTGAAAATGCTGCAGGGGTTGTTTGATTGAGCCTATTTAGGGCAGTAGTACCGTTCACGCACCCTTGCATCGGCTGTTATACATAACAATGATAACATTTTGGAGTTGAGGAACATCCGCAGATGAATTTTTCAACGTCGCACTTTCGTGCAATTCCATGAAAAGCGGCGTGTGGTCCCCAAATGAAATGAGCATGTGACAGAATCCGGTTCTATAGGGTTTACGAGATATTTCACAAACCATTATCAGACATTATTATTTCGTAAAAATAATCAAAACTTCTTTATGCTTTTAATTTATGCATGTATTCAATTCAATTACAGGATGGAGCCAAATTTTACATGCAGATGCATAATGTCCCACCTGATCTTCAGAAGCGTGTTCAGCGATGGTATGACTATGTTTGGACAAGGTAATTAATTAGAATGAAATTAAAGTGACATTATGCCTATCCAGTGGTATATAGTGAGTGAACAGGTGAACGTCAAAATATGTTGTATCATGTTGAAAATGTGTCAGATTTAAATACATACATATACATGCACAGTGTGATAACTGGAGTGCAAGTTTTAGTTACCCGCACTCCAGAGCATGCCCATTGATTGGCTCATTTTTGCTGGGGTTTACTTATTGTGACCGCAGAGAAAGGGAAAGCGATAGAAATGTCATATTCAGATGCTCATTCATTGGTTACTGTTTTCTGAGGTTCATATTGTGACAACAGGGAACGTATTTTTATGTTTGACTTCTACAAAAGAGAAAGGACACCAAAACACTCGGCAATCTGATTTATACTCGGGGGCTACGCCTACTCGTAAAAATCAGATAGCCTCGTGTTTCGATGCTCTTTTAATTACTTAACAATTTTGCCATAATTCTTATTAATAGTATAATTTATTTCGCAAAAACGATAAGTAACTCAATTGGCTCAACGAAATTTCTTGAAATATCCATACGAATTTACCTGTAACGTTTAATTTACTAAAAGAGTGGGACTATCTTTTTATATTTTAGGCAAATTTATATTTTACGCTTAAGCACTGTTGGTCAATCATCATTGATAGTTGTCTTTGAAATATATATTAAATTCAAACTTGACGAAAATGAAAATATGAGCATAATGTCATTTCGTTTTGATACGTATAAGGATGGTATTAATTGTTACCAATTCTTTTCGATGTCAAATATATGTGAAAGATGAAACTTTAAAGGTAGCAACAGAAGGCTAACATGAAAATGTTGTAGAATTGGTTTGATTAAACCTGTCAACATTGTTGATGCAAGTAACCGTTCACGACCCCACCTTACCCGGAAACTGGCACCAGTTTTAGCAAAATGAAAGATTCATTTAAAAATAAGATAAGCTTTCATTTTTTGATTGCATTCTTTTCTATTTAAGATATTAGAGATACGATTCCTTTATTATCTACATGTATACCCTTGTCAAAAATAGTATCATGGCTTCCAACAAACATTGAAGCAAAGTTGAACGCTAAATTACCTAAACACAAAATCTTCTTTGAGTATTTTGTACAAAAAATTGACGTTTCAGAATTTGTTTGGTAAGAAGGAACTTCCTACTTCTTATTCCTCTCTTATATTGATTTCTAGGATAAAACTTGTTTATAGAAAATTATGTTTTCCGGAACATTGTTCAATTACGACATAAATTACTGGCTTAAAAAGTGAATATCAGTATTCTCAGACATATTTCTCACTTTTTACTTATGTAATCACCTACTTCAGAAAAGTCATTTGCTAAGAATGTCTGAAGTTTGCCGAATGCCGAATTACATTTATGTACTTAATATATTTCTTTATGTTGGCGCCAAAGTTTTGCCGTCTTTTGTAAATTGTATGAAAGAGGTATCATAAATATTTGTAAGCAATATTAAAATTGACATTACTCAAGATTATAGAAGTTTCCATCATTTACGTCTTATTTTTTCTACGTCTTATTTTTTCGAGACAACTTAAACATTCTTTTGAGTCTGTCATATTCAATTAATATCAAACATGTGTTTACATATGATATAAATATGAAAAATAACAGTGTCTGCCAAAAATAATTTATGAGTCAATTATGAACATTCAAATACTCTCTTTACGGATAACATAATCGGTTACCCATAATCATCGAAATTATCCGAATTTTGACGGAAAAATCCTGATGTTTCTCTTCATAGCCTCCGATCGCCTTTCAGATTTATATTTTAGTTAGTTTTCGTTTAAGAGACAAGCATTCTCACACCTTTGGACCATGAACCGCCCTTTTTATTGAATGGCATGAACATGTCTTTTTGGAAGCTCCAGGATAACTACCGTATGAACACATCTGTGATGTTTCTGAATTCAAAGTTTAACCATCCATTCTTATTTAACTGTTGACGTCTGCCTAAGCCGGTACTAGGGTGCCTTGATTGACGGTATTCAACATTACCGTCCATGACTAGGTCAAATCAAACCGAGGCTGTGTCATTTTCAATTTTGTCGTTTGGGGTGTTTTTATAGACTCTTAGCGGCTTAAAGTGTTTCAAAATCTGTTATCTATGATTGAAAAGAAAAGACTTAAAGAAAATTCAAATAAGAAAAGATACATTCAAGTACGTGGAACACGACTAAATAATTTGAAATGAGGGACTTTTTAAATCTAGGTATGAATGTGCCTGATCATGGATGTAACTGATGAAAGCAACCTATTCCTTTTCCCTACCCCTAATAACGGCTTAAACATTTTAGCAAGAAGTTTTCAATGAAGTAAATATAATTGCAAATACTGGAGCATTTGCCGATTATTATATATGATCGATAAGCCTGGAACTGATACAGAACTGATCTTTGACAGTTGTTTAAAGAATACACATCATTATATTTTAAGAAAACACGTTGTTATCTAACTCCGAAGAATTTTAAACTAAATCTGTTAATGCATCAGCTATTAATGTATCATAGACCTATAAAATGTCAATTTAACAGTTTTAAAGCAAAACAATTCGCTGATAAAATAGGGGAAAAGGAAGCTCCTAAAGAACGCCCAAGATAAAAAAATTGAATGCCGCCCAAAACAATTTCCTAAATCGAGCCGATTTAATGGCATTTTCAATTTTGATGTGTAACCGATTTTTAAGGTTTGCATATGTCTATCTTACTTAATTGTTTTCAAAATGTCTCACTTTTTTCTATCTTATTCTGATGAAAAGGTTTGATTGAACATTCAAATGTTGATTGTATCGCGACCCTGAAGTCTCTCACTAATACAAGACACAAAACACTCTATTGAATTCGTTTAAATCATTTGGGAATAGACGATATTGCATCCCTTGGTGTTTTGTGCTTAGCACTTTTGTAAAAAAGTCGCTTTAATAAGTTACATTAAGCGGATCTGTCAAAAACGTCTGTTTCAATAAGGTTAAATGTCATCCTTTCCTTAAATGTATTTCTGTATTTAAACGGACTGTCTGTACCGAAGGACATAACAAGCAAATATATATCAAGATTGATATGCTTGTAGATAGTTTATCCATAAATAAAGATATTACTAAATATGATAAAAGTGAAAACTGGTTAGTTAATTTTGATTTGCCTCTCTATACAAGTCATCCATTTTAATGGGCGTGGCCCCCATTTAATGGACGTGGTCAGCAAATTTATTATAATGATAACAGTATTTTTAAGCTTAGTATAAAACGTTATAAAATAACAGTAACACTTAATCAATATTTTGTGTAATGACCAAAACGTTACTCATAGGCAGATTGCATAAAATATGATAAACAAAATCAACAAGGAAAGGCGGCGTTCGATGAACACAACCTCCACACGTCCCAGTAACAAATATCAGCGGCAAGGAGCCATCTTTTTATCAGGCTTTATCTTGTTAGTTAGTACAGCTATAGTGATTTGGTATTTTGTATGGAAGGCAAAATAATACTTTGTTTAAATGTTACTTCTTCTATGACAAATAATATTACATTTAGCACTATTTTCGTAGGTGACTAGCATATAACATGTTCTTTAGTAACTATATCAACATTGTTTAACGCATGTTTACTCTTGATAATGGAGTAAGATTTTATTTGTTTCTGAGGCACACTGTGCCTTTAAATTATGAACAAATGAACAAATCTTTATTATAATGAGGCAAAACAAGGGTAATCATCTAAATGTTGTACATGTATATTTACAAAACAAACTTGAACATGGAGAAATATAGATGGTGTCAAACTGTCACTTTTTATATTTATTCACACTATTCCTACCGATCTATGTATCATATATACAAGAAATGTAAGGGATGTTTTACATTTGTGATATTTTACAGTATCATTTAGAGTACGTCGGTTCATTGGTTCCATCACTTTAAGTGTTAAATACCGCTCAAGCCGCTGGTAGAGAGCATGAAAGATGTCGCACTTTTTCATTATCGCTCATGTACAGACTCAATCAAAGCAAGTCTGCAATTTTCATGTAATTTTGTTGTGATGATGCTTTCGAAGGATCACTCTTTATCTAGAGTTTTTTTAAAAGGATGACCACACAAACTATCATCATGACTTTCATATTTAGAGGAAGTGTGTCCATCATTAACAGTTAATCATACGGGAAGGGGTGTGAATGTTTGGAACTATAAGTGGAGAGAAAGTACGAAACATATGTACATGTATTTGCCATTTCTGATTGTTATTTACTTCTCAGACACAATATTTCATTGATTAAAGTTATCTTATAAATCATATAAGATGTTCTTAATTAAGAAGTCATAATCATTTAAATTAGTGACATGTCCTCATCACATAACAAAATAAAATCTTGGTAATGCATTTTCTTCTTTGCTTGAATTTTAATGTTATAACTCTGAACTGAATTGGGAAAATTGTAAACGTCAAACTTGTTGAAAATTCGGTCATTGACTAACTATACCAATTAAACCTACCCACCAATTACAGGAATAGAGTCTAATTTCATCGGCATTTACACAACCTCTAAATAACAACATGTATTTGTGAAGAAGTAAAAAATACAAATTAGGGAAACTATATATAGCACATATTGTACTTTATTTTTTCCCCATTTGGTGTTTTTTTGCCTGTATTGTATTTATTTTGGACATTTGTAGACCTTTTGATGCCAGTGAAATCATTAATGTGTTTATAAATTTGTATTCGGTAGCTATCCAGAAGAAAGTGGGTGGGTGGGTGAGAAAGGGGACGTAAATGTGTACGCCTTTCGAATCCTGGATTTTGAGTTCAAGCGACAGTAGTTACGAGTCCTTAACAGGTCACTGATATGACACCAGTACTGGCTGGTTCCAGGTAGAGACTCGAAAGAAAAGAATCATTAGTTGCAGAATTTAGTTTGACAATCGAGCTAATCCCTTACCCTGTTGGAACCTGAAGTGATTAGCCTATGCAACAAGTATAGAGCCGGGCCGGCCTGCACGTCCAAGTCTGGCCAGCCTCTATACTTCTTGATGAGCAACTTCAAATTTCCCTTAAGATCGATGGACAATTCCAAAAATTTCCGGAAGATTGACAAATCAATTTAAGAAATTGAGATTGAACAGGTTAAGAGTGAATATAAATGTTTTAACTTAATTTCAGTGAATTGTTCAATCAACTACTCTGAACTTCTTTTTTCTCAAATAAAGTAGAAAAACGATTATTGATTTCCACACAAATGAATGCTAATGATGCATTTTGTCAAGAGTTCAGGCCAATGATTTTTAAAATTAGGTATGCATGACTCTGACAACTTGGCTGTTCATTTAATGAATGGGTTTTCCTTTAATTAGCAAATACTGTATAATTTCCACATCCATTCATCTACAATAAATAATTGTATTCTATTTTAACAACAGTAGGCACTTTACTTCAAAGGCATTGACATGCTCTTAGAAAATGCTAACACGGCAAAAGTATCAGTCCTTGCATCGATTTGATTTATGAGATGCAATCGACAATAATACTTAATTGTGGACAATCAAAAATGCTTAAAACACATCAAAGCTTATGATGGAAAAATAACATAATATCACGATGTTTGATGATAAGAACCATTATCTGTATTTTTTGAAGGGGTCGTCTCATACATTACATTGATAAATTCTATCACCATCAATGTAATTAATTTATATTTAATATTTCAGGGGTTGTCTCAAATGTAAGGTTTAAAACAACAACATTACTACCGATTCAGTAAAATACATGTATATGAATTCTCAGGGGTCGTCTCAAATGTTAAATAAAAGACCCAAAAAGTAAATCTCATTAATGTGCATCTTTACGAATCGCCTCAACTGTAACGTTGTAAATCATGTCACCGTCATGTAAATGAATTTGTATTTTCAGCGGTCGTCTCAAGTATGAAAAAACCAAGTCAGAACTGATTTGATTATTAAATATTTTCAAAGGTATTTATAAACGTAACATTTTAAGGCATAAGAATCAATTTGTCATGAATTTATATTTTCAGGGGTCGTCTCAACTGTAACGATATCAACTCTTTAGGTTTGTTACCAGATAAACTCAAGACGGAACTTGCACTTCACGTGAATCTTGGGACGCTCAAAAAGGTATCAATTAACTTTATCTAATTAGATTTGGCTCATTTTCCAGCAGAGTTGATACTTTTAATGTTATTTGTTGCAGTTATTAATTGGAAAGTCTCAAGATTTAAAATGCCTCAAACGCATTCATTAGTAAGTAATTGTCACAGCAATTAAATGTATCAGGGCATTTGGGAGACTATTTTTAGAGTATCACATAAGTTGTTATCTCTTAAAAACTATCAATTTATGTTCGGGGAAAATTCAGAGAAATATAATAATAATTATGAGCCTCTAGTGGGCGTGATTTCATTTTCTTCTGAATGAACTACAAATATACTTGTGAAGATTTTTATTAAATGACCAGCTCTTTTAAAATAACATGGCTTTGAAAAAAAAAACTGTTTAAAAAATAACCAACGCAGTTTGGCTGACCTACATTGTTTTGTATATATAAGATGCGCATAAAAATCGTTTCGTACTCCCCGTTACGTACTTTCAATGTCAATGAAAATGTACGAGTAATAAATAAAAATATTAAGATATCTTTAAAACTATTTATAGTTAGTTATGCAGAGGCGTTAATTTTTCATTCGTATAAACTGCACGGGCTTTTAATTTTTTTAGCGTAAAATTTTGCTTCATAACCTTTCAAAAAAGCATTTCAGTTTGCGTTAAAGATATAATTATACTCAAATTTGTTACTTGTATTTCGAAAATATTGAAAATTGCTACACTGTCTCTTTGTTGATATAAAATCACCGTGTTTTTGACTTCACACAAAGTAGATATGTTATGTTTTAAACACACTATAAGCGGCCACAATATGAATATATAGTGTCATTAAAAATAACTGGCAGCTATTTTAAGAAAGGAACAACTTTACTTGACCACTAACGGTTGTTTTTTTTTGCATTCTTTTATTCAATATAGACATATTGAGTAAAAACTTCATAGATTTCAATAAAGTTCTGTGATAAAATAGTTTTAATAAAAGATGAGCATAGAATATCTTCTTTACTGAAAAAAGTCATCTTATTAATTCAATCATTTATTGTATGTACGCTATCACTTAATAATAAGAATGAACTACACCTTATTGATATACATTTTCATTTCACATCAGGTAACAATATTCCAAAAATGTCGTCCAGAATTTCTACACGATCTGATGTTAAAGATGAGAGCATACATATTTACTCCCGGAGACCTGATTTGTCGTCGGGGAGAAGTCGCCAGAGAAATGTTTATAATTGCCGACGGCGTCGTAGAAATACTTGGGTATGACTTTTGCATTTTTGTTCATAGCCTCTCTAGAAATTAATACATTGAATATTGTCACTGTCCATAATTATAAACGTCACTGGTTTCAAAATTAAGCATATCTTTCTTTGAAGATATTATAGCTGATAATAGATTATAAAAATAAGATTTCATAAATTCAACTATATAAAGACGAAACAATCTATAGGCTCGAGCTTTTCATTAAAGCAAATGGAATTTATTCTCCAAAGCTGTTTTAATTTGTTTGCATTAATTAAGAAACAATATTGAGTCTACAGTATTTTTAGTTTCACATTATTAGGCATGTTTACAGGTTTCCATTTTTAAAATTAGTAAAGTAATATTCAGATCAAGTATTTCATTTTTATTTATAAAGCAATAGTCAGATAAAGTAGTTCTGTGTTACGGGATCATTTCTGTAGGTTAAATATGGTTAATACACAAAGCCTACTTAGTATTTTAACATTAGCACAAGATTGACTAAATTCGCTCTTGTTTTGAAAAGAAAGAATATAGAAGTTCCATCATTGTCATCATTAATGCTTAAATTTTAATGTTTCATTCCCACTGCAATTCTTTTTTCTTTTAATTTACATAAACATACGACCTTAAAATGAATCAAAAGCAAATATACACCTAAAGTATGACCTAACTTTGGAATATTGATAACAAATTGACAAACTAGAACATTGTTTATTGTTTAAACGACGTCAAGAATCTATAGTCTAAAATAAAATGAAAGAAATGGAAACCTTAAACGCCAATCAGGGCAAGAATTTTAAATGTACAAACTCGGAACTCACGTTGGTAAATGTTTGACAGTATTCTGCCTAAGAGTGACATGAAATATGTTTATTTTAAACCAACAATAATGTTCCGATTATACAGTCTCAAGTTTGTCTAGGATCTTAACCTTTTCAGAGAAATTTCGGCGAATAAAGAGCTCCATCTCTAGTCAAATATTCATTTTGTCCGCCGTAAAAGAGGGTGTATAATGGCTATTGCCATTAAGTCGTCTATATAATCATAGACTTATGACAAATTTATATGAAGTTGTCATACATATTCCAAAGTTAATGGATACATGCCATTAACATGGTACTTAAAACGGGCCAAAAGAATGGAAACTGACATAAAGAACTATAAACTTACGGCTTCATCATAACACTATGAATGTTTTTCATATCGTATCTTTTACTTTGGGTTCAATTTTGCTCTTATGACAGTTTCATAGCTTCTCAATTTCAAAGAGCTTTTTGGTCGATGTGGTTCTTCCTTATGTTGTAAACAAATCTATGAATCATCAAAACAAGACTTATGAAGTCGTAAAAATATGGTTTTTATCCTCCTATTATGACAACGTGTTTAATAAAAAATTAGTAAAATATAATGAATATTTTATCTGTGTAATTTGTATACATTTATAAGAGTAAAAATGTTCCTTTACAATGAAATAATATGTCAGCATTTAACAAATGCCGCATTTTGCATGTTGGAAATGAAACAAATATTTTACGAGTTATCAATATAATCATCTCAGAATGTTCTGGAATTTATTTGCACGACGTGTTTAATGTACACTACGTAACCATGACATTTTTGTTGATTAATAAAATTTGATGATACTACTATAATAAATGTAAATATATTTATATGTTCTAGGGACAACAATACAGTTTTAACACAGATGAGCACCGGTGATTTCTTTGGGGAGATAGGTATCCTGAATCTTGACGGAGGAATCAACAGGTTTAAATTTATTCATTTCATTTCTGTAACACGCGCGATGTAATTATTATATATAACGATGTAAATGATCCCCAAAAGACAAAAACATCGATTTTATATACGCCTTATCCTTTTTTTGGACTTAGTTTAGACGAAGCGAAGCAGAAAACCACGGCAAAAAGCTTTTCAATATTATTAAATTTGGTTTAAATAACCCTTACTACGCTTCATATCTTAAATGGACTGGCCCAGTCCCATTTTTAATCGGGACTTAACCGTTTTAAGGGACAGTTTATCAAGTAGTGATATATTGAGCATAGCAGACCCTGGTCAGTCGGCACGCATGTGCAGGGTAAGGTCACACAGTCTCAACAGACTTATAGTTTAGATTAACGACGCAGCAATACACCACTTTAAGTTGAAACAGCTGTTTGGTTACTTATCGTACATATTTTGATATGCATGGAGATTGAGAGATACCTGTTCCATTTCAAGTATTTGTTCAGGTCTACATCTCTTCTATCCATTATATACATTATCTGATACTCAACGAATTGTCAGTATTCATTGTTTTGTGGGAGTAATATTTACATAAGAAATTATATTTTTGAAGGAGAACAGCTGATGTAAGATCTGTCGGATATTCGGAGTTGTTTGTATTGTCCAGAGAAGATGTATTAGAAGCTTTGAAGGACCATCCGGATGCCGAGGTAAAACATTATTTTTTTATTATCTCTCGTTGTATGCTGCGTATCAACGAAACGGTGTGTCATAAATTCAGCAACTTTATCAGGGAATGAAAACAATCAAAACACGTTATAATATGTGCCTTTGATTTGCTTGTTCAAGCAATATATATTTACATGACATGGTTGTTACAAACTGAAAACATAACATATAAAGCATTTTATATGATACATGCAGCAAAAAAATACGTTGCTATGCCCATAAACTAATAGACTAGTAATGAAATTAAAACAGTCTTTTTTTTAATTATAATAATTTTTTTATAATTTTCATTTTATGTTAATATTTATAATTGGTCAGAAATTTATCTGATTATGATAAAATCATTGGTCCTAAACATCCTTGATTGTTCATATTTTCTTAAATATCAACGCTGTGCATTACCGCATTTTGAAAAGATTTCCGCATGAAAATCGCATGCAATGTTTGCATTATTATGCTTGTAGTGCAGGAAAAAGCAAATTTGAAATTTATTACCGTGTTAAATAAAACAATAGTGTCAATATAAAGCAAAACGAAACGTGTATAGCTTATATCTTATATTTCCTTTTCTCTTTTGAGTTGCCGTTGACATTTAAAAATAGACAGCTATTTCGGAGTATCTATTTCCAGTTGCACTGACATTTTAGAACAGACGAATACATAAGACAGAGACTGTTTGCTTGTTATAGTCCGATATTCGAAAATGAAAAAAATACAGCCATAACTTATAACTAACTTATAAGTTTCATCGAATAAGGAACGCAAAAGGTTCCAAATGTCTTCACGTTGAAAGATATATGCTTGTGCTTATTTTATTATGTACAGTGTTTAAACACAAAGTTGAAACTATTTCATTTTACAATCTGTACAGATTATTTTAGTGAACATATGCATGTATATATTGATTGCAATATGGCTATTTATAAGATGTATCTTTAACAGTTTTACATTTATTTTGTAAATGCCTAAAAGATAAAAAATTTATAATAAGAGAAAAAAGGTTGTTTAATACTAGACAAATTTAGATAGAATGCATGTTTTGTTTTATTTTAAAGCTTAAATAGTCTTTATGTTTGTTTTGTATTATTATATTTAGTTTTCTTTGTTTCTGATAAAAATTGGATCATATTGTGCTGTTTGCTGCCTTATATGTGCTATATTGTGTGGAATATTATAGGGTATTTGTAAAATGATTCTGTAAACCATTGTTGTAACCAGGAGATTTTAACACGCTATGCACGTGTAAGGTTGGATGATTTGATGTCCCAGAGGTCACCTACATGCCAAGCTAAGCCGTCCCTCAGTTCTTCCAATAACACTTACGCTAGTATAGAGCAATACGCGAATCCAGCGTTCGTTATCAGGTATCTTTGATAGTAACTGGTTACTTTGCACACACTCGAAACCTGTATTTGTGTATGTAGATATTGAGAAATACATATATCATATAATAGATTACTATATTAACATATTTTTAGCTTATATTAATTTTAGTTTAGACTCATATTGTTCGAAGATTTTGCTTTTTAAAAGCTGACTGCGCTTTGAGTATTTCCTAAATTTCAATATAAATCTTCTCAACTATGAGTTATTACATTCTGTTGTATATGCTACAAAACAGCAATGGTCTGAACATATTAACGCGAATATGTTTCAAAAGGTAAATATTGCAACTTTGTATCTTATATAAAGTTTGTCTTCACCTTTTGTGCTCATCTTTTCATATTCCGCTCCTTTGCTAAATAGAGAGAGCATTAAAGGTCGCAGATTCTTTCCTCGGCCTAGGCACGATTTCTCCGTGACTCTTGAACTCGGATAGGGAGTCTTATTGTCATTTGACCTTCACCGCTATGTACATGGGAATAACACTCGATCGCTTATAGAGAAATTGTTAATTAATGGTAAGTTACCACAGAAAGTCGGTTTAGTGTTTAAATCGGTTTAAAACCGTGCAAACAAATACTCTATTTTTCATATTAGTTATTTTAATCAATAAAATAGATCCAAAACTGAAATAATGATTTTCTTTTCAAAATGATCATTGAGGGTTGAAAAAAGGCAATATGTTATTCACACATTCTGACCATTATATACAAGTACAATATTTGCCATACTGAATACATGTGTCAAATATATTCATCTATAATTAGCCTTATAATGGTCATATATCCTTCGCAATCTCGTAATGTTGTCAAGTTTGAGTTAGACCCACTTGATATGTGCATAAAAATTATAACCTGTCAAAACATGTAGTGTACTTCGCAATTTCACTTGCAGCAAACATGTTCCTCTAAACAGGAAGGGGTATTTAATATGTTAATCTTCCTAATTTGCTCATCCTCAAGTTTGCAAAGCATGAGGGAAAATTCCTACGTGAATTGTTTTCTTATGGATAAATCTGTTTGATTGATGCATAGTTTTTTCTAAATCTACAAATGCACACATTTGCGCCTAATTACAAATCCAAAATAAGCTCGTTTGTCGCATATTTGAAATAATTACGTTTTATTTTAGAATTAATCAAACTAATAAATCCCCTAACAGCCATTTGAAATATTCTAAATCGGAATTAGATTCCTCGAAATTTCTACAGAAAGTATTCGAGCATCAGCTGTTTGCTGAAGCAAATGAAAAGAACCTTTTAATTTATTTGCTTGCAAAAGAAGTTTTCTTTATAATAACATTGATCTTCCTCCTAACAGCTGTTTTTTCGTTATGCATATGAAGTGATATATAGCTTGACTGTTTTATAATATCGTGTATCCGTTTGGTTGGTGACATTAATTAAATAAGTTTCTTTCACGAAAAGTATGCTCAGAAAAAACGGTTTTCTAAAATCTGTTATTGCTCTCTTATAAAAGTTAAGTAACGCACGTAATGATATCTTTACACGGAATGACATCTTAACAAGATAATAAATGCATCTTCTGTTTGATTGTGATGGTTTGTGTTGTTAGCTTCCTTGTATTTAAAGACAGTTATATAGAATATAGTGCACGGTTAGAGACGATTGTATAGAATGTAGTGCACAGTCATAGATCTTTGAATGCTTTTTTGCTTTAAAATCTTGGTTGCTTTTCATTATTTATGTGCATTTATGCTTTTTATTTTGCAATTATTAACAATTAAAGACTAACAGTGTTACTAATCTACTAACACACATGCCGTGCATATTTTAGAATATAATCAGAGAATATGGCCAAAGGAGACTCAAGGAAACCGAAGAACATAGAAAGATGCTAAAGAGTGCGCCAAGCTCTCCTGAGCCATCTTCCTTCAGAGGAGGTAAAGGCCAAAATGGAGGAAACGAGGACACTGCAAGCATAGGATTGATGCATTTTCCTCAAGTCAAATGCTTACAAAAATTACCACAAATGTCACCAAAAATAAAGAAACTTTTCAATATAAGGAATAGAAAAGTTAAATGTAAAGATGCTCAACAAAATTTTGAATCTTTTGAAAATAATTCAATTAAAATTTCAAATAAGTCTACGAACCAAGATATTGTCAACATGGAACGACTTCATCCAAATAAGAACGATAATGGAATAAGATTGCCAGTCTCTAATTTAGATATAATTCGAGAAAAGGATAATTCTGATGTGGAAACTGAACTAAAACCTGACGAAGACAATACCACAAGTAGTACCAAACTGGCTGATCTCGTCCTTAACTTTGCTTAAAAGTCGGCGTCAACTTGGCTACAAAGCAGTACAGTCTGAAGACGGAGACAACGAAGAAACATTTGAAGAAATACCAATTGAAAACTTTACAGTGACTTCCGAAGGCACTTGTGCTTCAAGTAATGTTAACTATGCATACAATGATAAACATGAAGACAATTTCATACGGACTCTATCAGAACAAGGCTCTCAGCCTCATTTATTTAAACGAGAACATACTGTTGAATCTAGGTTAGAAAGCACAGGAAATATAACTAACATTTCTACTCCTAAAATAATACTAACACCAGATTCTGACCACGTGATCAGGTATTTAGCAGTAGCCTCTTTAACTAACCAAATCTTTGTTTTATTGTTCAAATACATTTCTATTAGTTGATCTGTTCTTTGAATATGTTTCCTTTTTGTTTCCGCTTCACCCAACTTAAAGCGGAGTGTTGCTAAATACCTTTATCAACTTTTTAACAGTAATAGTATTATTTATATTGATTCATAGCATTGCAGATTCAAAGCATTGCAGATTTCGCCATCATTATTATTTTGAATTAAGTAATATTGCAATGTGTTCAAAATATAAGGATATAAAAGATGTTTAATTACGCGGAATGATTCAAGATAAATTATTAGACCGTTGTTCTATCTTTTTTTATCAGTCCGTTTATCAAATACAATTTACAGCATGTTCTTTTTCACGTAGTGAGAGCAGTGCGGACGAGAGTGATAAAGACACATTAGATGGTACACCTGTCTCCAAACCATATCTACCAATACGCAATCATCTGTCACGTAAAAGTAGTCCGTGCATTCTACCGATACCAACAACGTTAGACGACAGGTGAGTCGTGGAATCTTGGCAAGTTTTCATATGACGTTTCTGTAGATATCTTTTTTTAATTTACGAGTATATATTTGTGTGTCGTGTATGTGTGTGTTTTTTTTTTAACAATATTACATTTTAAATATTTTAGCAAGAGGTATTCTATGAGATAAACATGTTCTCAATATCTTAACAGTAGAAGCTTCGTATCTTCTTTATGTGTAACCAAAGTAAGACGACTTTCATTGTGTAATTTCATACTTCCTGTTTATAAGTAACTTGTGTTTGCTGGGTCAAAAACTTGGTTGAGTATGGTTGAGTCTAGACGCTAAATCATAATTACTTATTTCTTCAGGAGCGGAAGAAAGTTCAGTGCGCCTCCTCTTGATCTTCCGATAGAAGTACCGTCTTTCTCAAACTTCCGAGGTTTGTCAGGCAATACGAAAGAAATTTCCGTTACCCTCGACAGGTTTAAATCTCAGATAATGCAAAGACTGGTAATATGTTTTACTTTTCACCAAATATTGTTTTATAATTTTTTACCAAATATTGCTTAAGCCGGTGCTAGGGGCGTAGACGGTAGTTTGTACTTGACAGAACAGGCCCAATCTAACCGAGCCTGCAACATTTTTAGTTTTGCCGTTTGGGACTTTCTTTAGGGATTCTTATTTTCTCTATTTTACAATACCAGTGGCGTACATGGCCTAGTGGTTAAGGTCGTTGACTTGAAATCACCTCGATAAACCGCTTTTGATTCAAATCACCCCTAAGACTTTTGATTTTTTCATGCGAGGAAACAATGAAGCTTACTTACGAAACGTCGGTGGTTCTACCGAAGTTGCTGTTTGAACCTGAAATAATGCTCGGAGGGGCACCTGAGATGTTTCTCAACAAGTAAAACCGGAACGTTGCCATAATTATGACTTCTGTTGACTATATTGCTGCTATTTAAAACCCAACGAGGAAGATAAATTTACCCAATAAAAACGTTTAAAATTCGATCATACATCAGTTTACAGCAATCAATCATAAACAGTTATATAGTTACACTGTTTAATCTGTATCCTCGAGAAATATAGTAAAAAGGATAAATAAATTTCTATATTAACGTCTGCGCGATCATAAATTCACTCACTTACGTTGCTAAATATAGAAGTCCTGTATATGTATTATGGTCTTAAGATAATTAGATCTTTTTTGCAATTCTGATAATATGAACATGTTTATTAGCTCATTTCGTTCTGAAACGTTAATATTTATTCTCCACACGAGTGCTATAATTGTCATTTCAAATCATATTAAAGGACAATATGGAGACATCGAATAAGGAAACCCAATGTCGTTTACAAGAAACGCTGATGCTTCAGGAGAAAATGATGAAAAACATGTTGAAGAAAATGACATGTAAAGATAAGGTAAACTGTCTTACAATGTACGTTCCGTTTGATATAAGTTAAACAACCAAAATGGAAGCTTCATATAATAAATGAAGCTAGAAGATAGATAATGTTAGGTAACAGCACACTTCAGAAACACTTAACTCTTATACATGAAGTTAGCTAACATAAAGCGCATTAAAGTACTAGGTGCTTTATTATAAGCGCACCATGAACAGCATGATTATCTTTTAACGTTAACGACATCTTAAAAAAATTAAAGGTTATTTGCCAAAACTGTTAAAATAACATTTGAGATATTTATTTACATTTTCAGCTGTTGGGTAAAGACGACGTCTCGAGTGTAAGGTCGGACACAAATGATAATAAGTGTGCAAGGAGACAAGAATCAAAAGCCAACGAATTTTATTTGAAACCTAGTCAAGCTACGTGTAGAAGTTCCTCTTATTTATCAGCTAGTTTGCCATCTGCTTCCTATCATGACAACAAAAGTATACCACATACAGAAAGTGACCTGTCTTATTCGAAAAGTTCTGAACAAGCTGATTCCACCAAGTATGACACGAAACAAACTTCATTTAAAAAACATGTGCGTAGAATAAAGAAGAGCCATAGTTTAGATTCCGAAAAGACAAAAAGCGCTAGTGAAAGCGGAGATGTTATTTTAAATATCAGTGAATTAAGGACAAACACTGAGCAAAGCGAAGATGTCTATGTTCACAATATAAACAAACTATCATCGTCAGAAAGCGAGGATGAATTTATGGATTACAAAGTTACACATTTATGATATGCTACAATACGTTAAAGTAAAATATTTTTATCGTTTTGATTCTGTTAAAGGCGAAAGAGCTAAATGGACAGTACGTAAAGCAATCCTTCCTACTTACGAAAAAGACATGGTGCACAAAAAATGTTTTGGAAGTTCATGTTTGCAAAGCAATAAAGTTGTTGAACAAATGATAAGGGTTTAAATCAATACGCGACCACATAAATTAAATTATACTGAGTAACACTTCCTGAAATGTTCACTGTTCAATATCCTAATGTTTGACTGTTTAAATATTTAACTTATTTTTTAACTTCCACAATACATATCCTTATCATTGAACCCCCTTCAAAACAATAGATAACAGAAATAAAAACAAAGTAATGAAAAACAAAAATATTACAAACCAAACAAATAAAAATAAGCAAACAAAATGCAAGCACAATTTATTACAGAAACTAGTAAATAACACAACATGTAATAAATTTTTAAAAAGAAACAGATGTATAAACGTTAAAAATCTGGAAACAAAATGATCCCTCGGAAGCCAATGCTTTGCAGAATAACTATAATTACATATGATACATCATGGGAGTGTTTAGTCATAACGGCTTTCTTAAATGCCACACGGCAACCTCTCATTTACTGGTATAGGAAAACCCCAGAAAGATGTTTCTCATGCATACTTTTTATTTGACACCCAAGCATGACCACCCACTTTCGTATAGGTTACTCACATGAAAGACTTGTCCCTGTAAGGCAAGCAAGTGATTTGAAGCCAAGCCAACATTTTACTCTACTCGGTCGCAGAGGGTCTGCAAAAATGAATACATATAACCACATCAAATTATCACTACAATAAAATATCAAGATATCGTGTCTCGGTTCTATTCTGCTTAAATTTCGAATACGCACATTGTGCCTTTTAAAAAGTGGTTACTGTGAAAATAAAAATATTAAGATTGTTTAAATAATATTGTATTAAAGTGACATTATGATTATTTTTTCATTGTCAAATTGACTTTAACTGACTACATATTTCAATAAACTGGTCGTTATAATGGTGATTGACCAACACATGATATTTGAAAATGTTAGGGGTAAAAATTAATATACCTAAATATATATAAAAAAACTGCCCCAATCTTTTTATAAATTGAAAGTTACAGATACAGATTACAAAAGAATAAGTAGACACACTTCACAGGGCCTAGTGAGTTATTTATCGTTCATGTGAAGTAAATAATACAATTTACAGGAATTATGAGAAAATGTTAACTTAGTTTGACTTTCACCTGTTCACTCTATATCTACCCATGGATGGACATAATGTCACTTTAAATGTAGTGTTTTATGTTAACCTTTCTTATTTAAACTTTAGTTCTTTGAGGATTTAGTGAAAAGTAGCTTTTCTTTCAGAACTAAAATGTAAATGTGATTCTTTGAAGGTTCAATCAATTACATTTAATCCATTCATAAAGTAGTTTGATGTCAATACTGTCATGCAACAAAGCTATTTGAATATTAAAATAACGGTGTTACAAAACTTTCAATATAATAGTATATTTCGATATACTACCGTTTCAATTTGACTTACAAATGGAAATTGATCAATGTTTAGGTATGTCAAGTTAATAATGGATACAAATGCACTTTCATTTAAACACGATACAAGTATGACATTTATAATTTTTAAAAAAATAAAGAAAAGCGATTTAGATTGAACATAGTATTAAAATATTAATTAATTCTTAAGTCCATAGCCGCACTTTTTATATAAAATGTCTCAACTTAACAGTAAATATATGATGATAATTAATCATTTGTCGGCCTTGATTTAACTTACATACCTTTTTACGATATTCAAGAACTATTTAATGAAGAATAAAATCTCTTGTCTTGATAATAAATGTATTTCCACATTTAACAACAATTGTCTAAATGATTTTAAGTCATTGAGACGTAGTCGCAAAGGGAATTCATAATAAATCATATTTTCCGTATCTTTTATGTCAATCTTGACCATAACGCTATAAGGGCATCTTTTTTGATTTTGTAAAAAGCTATTTCATATATCATTTTACTTTTTAACGTTAACTAACTCGTAATCGTCTATTAACTTATACTACATTTTTATGTTACAAGATGATATTTTTCCTTTTTTCAAAGTATCGCACTGCGTCGTAAATAGGTCTATAAAACTAACAGTGGAATTATTTATTCGTCATTTTATGTTTCATCATCAGAGAAAATAGACATGATAACATATCTTTGCATTGTTTGATATAATTAATATAATACAATAATTGTTACCATTTTAATCCTGTTTCCATATGATATTGTAGTTTCAATGATAATATTTAAATTGGGATTTTACTTTGCGTGTTCTAAAGCAAACACAAAAAGCTAAAGGAAGACCTAAATGAATGAACGACTTTCTGGCACAACGTTGGTCCACATCTTGTTTTGTTTTTGTCTGCAAACAAACAACATTAAATTAAAACGAGAAGGACCTTTCTAAACTAACTTCGCCTAGGCCTGAAACAAAACTACACTTCTAAATTTGTACTGGAAATTAAAAAGATATTTTGTAAATTCATAAACACGCTTGAACTCTTAAATTGATTCATTTTCTCTAGGATGATTTTATAAAGTGACTAATCAAAGTACAACCATGTTTTAGTTTTAAATTACAAAATTGATATAAGAATCGTCGCTGCGGTCACAATCAATGTTTAAAATGATAAATTTTCTTGTCTTTTTAGATCGTTCGTTCAAATACTCGAAACTCTTAACATGAAATAGTGCTTTTGCCCAAAACAATATACGACATTTGTTGTGAATCAATAATCGTATTTTGGAAGAAGCCTAGCGTCTCTTAAAACATTAGTCATTAATAAAATTTAAAATTATTCGTAAATTATCTTTAATTTGTTTTAAAAACATATTTTGGCAGGAACTATTATATACTTGTCCAATTTTATGCTTTGTATTGCCGCCAAATATTGTGTCTCTTCTTAAATCATTTAGACAGTAAATCGTTCATATTTTAATAGCTGATTTGTATTTTGTATTGTAGTATTTTCTGAAACAAAGTTATATGTACAGTGTAACATTTCCAATCACATTAGGATTTTCTAAAGTTATATTATTGATTTTCATTTTAAATATAAGCATTTTCAGCAGTTTGCATACCTTGAATGAAGCGTGATACAAACATAACTTGGCAAATTTAACGCTTAGGTCACTACAATAGGAAGCTAACATTTGATTTCTGGACATTAAACAAAATGTATTTATTTTATTACTATTTGATCTTCTAGAAGATCATTTTTTTTCTACATCACGTGCATGTCGATGAAAGATAAAAGAAGATCTTGATTATATTTCGAAATCTAAATTATTTAACTAAATAAATCATTTCACACCCAGATATCAAAATACTAAATAGTACTTTATATAATCGTTTTAATTGAAATTTTCTGATAATGAAAATCGGCAATTTTAATGTAATAAATCGTTACAATATAACATTAAGAAGATTTTATGAATAGTTGTTATTTGTGCCAAATTTGTTGAATAGTGAGTTTCGCCATATGATGAATTGAATATTAAGAGCAATTTAAAAAAAAAGGATTGTTCAAAAATCAAATGAAAAGTCGGAACAAGGTATAACACTAATATAAAAAATACCGACCCAAAACTTTCCAAGAAAAATGCAATGAATGTCTCTACATTATCATGCCTTATTTACCATTGGATATAGATATGACAAACGCATTTCCTACATCATAGTGTGAGATACAAAACTATTGAATCTTATTATTTTAAGTACATGCTTACGATGCAATGCCCTAAATATACTAATATAGGTCAAAACCGTCACATCATACAGAAATATTGCCGATTAAAGCACCAAGAGGTTTACTCTCTGTAGTTGTTGCCGTATCGAGCTTCTTGAAAACATCTATTCGACGCTTTTCAGCGAACAGTGCTCTCAACTTGGATGAGGATGTACCTGTATTTGGAATAACTGTTGTCCTTTGTCGGATAGAGAACCTCAACCATCTAGTGTAAACGTTCGGTTGCGAAACAAGTTCCTACAACTTCAATAATCACTTTCGAGGTTTAACACTCACCGTGGGTAAGCAACTTTGGTCATGTGACCACAAAAGTCAACGTACACGGCCAAAATAGCTCGGGTGAGGTAAGTGTTTTAGTGATTATTTTTCTGGGCAGCCGATTTAAATTATGCTACATAGCCTACCGACTGCCGCGGTCGGTAGGCTATGTACCATAATTTTTGTATTGGCTCGATAGAAAAATAACCACTAAAAAACTTACCTCAGCCGAGGTATTCTGGCCGTGTACGTTGACTTTTGTGGTCACGTGACCAAAGTTGCTTACCCACGGTGACACTTTCGATTTATCAATCAGTAAATCAATCAATCATCTGACATAAGCTAAAAGGTAACAAGCAGATAACTACTTCTGTTTTTGGATGAATGATACAAACTTATTTTATTATCAGTATATGGAAAAAGAAACTTATTTGTTTAAATAAGCCAAACCTGAAAAACCTTGTCCGATATCAACAATTGGGAAACAACATACTTGGAATTGCCTCCTTTCATTTTGATTGTGTTTAACGTAAATAACATGGTAACCTTGTCAGCCTTTTTTGATCATTTGATCACGAAAGTCCGTTGTACATTCTTTCTCCGTATAGTTCATCCCAATTTAAGGTGTACAATTCATCGTAAAGGAATCCTCTTAAAATGATATATTTTTATATGCTCCAATGTCCTTTTTACTTATCAACAAAATGATAAATATAAAAAAACTAAAAACTTATTATGTTAAAAACTTATGTGATTGGGTCATTCCTTTTTGAATTATTTGTTTATTTAATTCAAAAAGGTTTATAATGCTATTTGCTTATTAGATTTGAGATTAATCTTTACTTTCTGATAACATACAATTTTTTTCTAGTAAAAGACATTTTAAGTGGCTTTCGAAAGAAACAAATTAAGATAGTTATAAAATTCCCATTTATTGTTTATTGACAAAGTTGCTTGTAAAATCATTTGAGTAAATGATGGACACATTTTAGAATGAGGGAATTTGTAAAACAAATGCAATACTATAATGATCTATACAATATTTCTGTTACATAAATCAATCATCAGTGACTTAGAGAGAATAAATATCAACAAGGCAAGGCGACGTTCACAGAATG